CCCCCAAAACCCCAAAACCCCAAAACCCCATAAAGATCACCCTAGCTTGATTTCAAACTTGGCTTAAAAAGATTTTTGCCTAGTACTTAGAATTCTTCTTGACATTTCTTAGAGCTTTCTTTGCTAACTTAAGAGCATGCATATTTCTCACCATTAAGTCTCTCTCCTTCTTCTTGTCTGAGTCTTCTTGAGCTAGTCCTATCTTATCCTCATGCTTAATGAATTCAGAGAACAAGAAGCCTCTGAGGTCTTCTAAAGAGTCCTTGATCAGGAACTTTACGATGCATTTAGGGATCCTTGACTTGAACTGCTTCTTGATAATAGCGAGGTAAGCCTTGATCACTCTCTTCATAGAAATGATGTTAGTCATGTCGTCATGGGTGAGTCCGTCTGAAAGATCTATTTCTCTCTTGATCTTCCAACTTCCAAAATCTTTCTTACAGCTTGAACTTTCGAAAAGCTCTGTTTCATCATCAGATTCTTCAGGCTCAAGATTCTGTGAATATTTCTTACTAGGAATTTCTTCTTCAGTGATGTTGCCATCATTGCCACGTATTTGTCTAAATCTGATGCCTTTGGCCTTCTTGGCAACTCTCACAGCATGCCTAATAGTCTTTTCCATAGACTTTTTACTGAAAAGTTCTGGCTCAAGGTCATAAATATCTTTGAGATGTTGGAGCTTCTCTTCTTCTAGATCAGAGTCACTGAAGAGATACGGCTCAATGAGTCTGAAGTCAGGATCATCATAGTCGATATAGCTCTTCTCAGACTCAATTACCTCTTTGATGTGGTCAGTCAGATGAGTCATGCATAATTCCAAAATCTGCTCTGTGTTGTCATTCAAGAAATTTCTCAAAACTTTTCTGGGTCCGAGCTGGTCGATATCTATGAGGGAGATTGAGTTTTCAATAACAGAATAGACATGTCTAGCACAGTTGATACTTGGGATACTAAACTTGTCGATCTTTTTGACTATCAAACTCTTGCAAGCTTCTCTTGGAACGAACAAGCTTGGGTCGATCCCGTTGATAATTCTTATTTCTGATAAAATATCAACTTCATTAAGCTTCTTCAAGGGATCTATGGTACCGATCTTATCTTCCATGAAGGTCTGGAAGATCTCATAAATCAGTGCTCCTCCATCAAAGAGGAGCTTACCCTTTTCTTCGACAACCTGACTATGCTCGATGACTCTTTGGAACTCATTGCAGTACTGATTAATAACCTTCGTGATGAAAGATACAGCATCTTGGTCATTTCTTAGTTCGATTTCAGGGCCAAGCATTTGAAGAGATTTTTCACAGTCAGCAAGATTCTCATGAATCTTTTCTTGGATAAAAGGCAAATGCTTTTTGATATGTTCACCGAGAAGTACACTCAATTTTTGAGCAAGCACTGAAGTTCCTTGAGTATGGGCTATATCTTTGTAGTCTGGGTGAGTTCTGAAAAAGTTCTTCTCATCTTCGAGTGAATCTTTGATAGTTTTTCCTTTGTTGTTATCGTCTTGTGATCTGCATTTCACTCCGATGTAGCCATGCTTCAGTTTGTACTTGGTTCCGTTGATGAAGTCGAGAGCATTTGTTCCCTTGTCCATGATGTCTATCTTGGTCATCACTCCAAAAGTTCTATCTCTGTTGGGATCAACATTTTTCGCATAGAGCAGACCATCAGAGTTAGCAATGTCGTTATTTGCAGGTGAAATAGCGAGTATGATTGTATTTTCTTTTACAATATACTCCATGACAAGTGCTTCTATATCATCACTGATGCCAGACTCTTGATCGTCAAGGTCGAGCCTTGTAAATCCTGGCAAGTCAATAAGAGTAAGATTTGGTACATTCTTACTGTAAATCGTCAAGTAAATTGGTTTGTTGACAATCTTCTTGTCAGATCCAGCAAGAACGTTCGTCCTTTTCTCAATCTCATCTCTTACTTTGTTGAAATCAGTGATCATTATCTTAGGAAGATGATCAAACTTCGCATAAGTATCTCCTTTATGATAAATAAGCTGTAGGATGAGTGGACACCTAGTCACGATGCCAGTACCTCTTGGAAGAAAGTCTTCACCAACAATAGATTCCAGTACAGATGACTTACCACTTGACTGAGCTCCTACTACTGCGATTCTTGGCAGATCAATCTCAAACTTAAGGTTGGCTCCTTGAAGTGCCTTCTGAATATCGTTCATCATTTCGATGACTCCTTGTAAATTCATGATTTTGCGCAAAAAACTTAATTAATTATTATTCCAATTCTTAGTCAGAATTTAGGGGTTTTGGGGTTTTGGGGTTTTGGGGTTTTGGGG